TAGAATGCTCGCCTGCCACGCGGGCGGCCCGGGTTCGATTCCCGGCCGATGCAACACGACTTTTTGCTTGTTTTCGGCTAAGAATAATTTATTTCATAATGGAAAATATTTGGAATCTAAGCAAGCACTAGAGTGTTGCGAAGAGAGTGTTTTGTTCTTTTTTTCTTCAATCTTTTCTTTCATTAATTTCTCGAGGATCTTCCGCTTGATGTGTGATCGAATGTTGCTGAAAGTCTTTAAAGCTGTTGCTCTTGAAGGTAGTACAGGTAGAGCACTCGTATATGAACTTGCCCGGATGTTTGTTCGTCTTTGTAATATGTTTGCGTAGATTGTCGAAGCTGCTGCACCGGAAGCTGCAGTGGGGACATTTGTGGGGCTTCTCTCCGGTATGTTTGCGCATATGACGATCCAGGTGACTCTTGACCATTGCCCTGAACTCGCACTGATCACACTTGAGCCATATTCCGTCGTCAGCTAGCGCTGGAACAAATGCATGCGATTTGAGGTGCCTGCAAAGCAGTAGAGTAGAGAGTAAAGACAATTAGCCATTCGCTGGGCGGGTGAGGAAGCTGTTAAGTGTTTGTATACTGCGAGGCCATATTTAAAATCTTCGGCTTGATTAGACGTTAAATTCCAGTGGCGGCTGTCGCCCAAGCAACGCAGCCAACAACTAATTGCTAATTTCGCATTCGAATCGCACGCTCGAAATCAAAATACGAAATACGAGTAAGTTGGCAAAGTCGCGGCTTTGGCTGTGCCACTGCCATTGCCAGCGACTTTTGGGATGCCACCGATCTGTACCGGTAACGGTGACGGTGTCGTTGCCGGTAGCAGCAGCAACTACCTCCAATACCTAGCCGCACAGATGGAGATCTGTTTTGCAAACAGCGGCAAACCGCATTCACAAATAATCGCTCACAGGAGTCCGGTCATTGGGGAAGCTGTGTGCGCTTTGCAATGTTTTTTGCTAGCTATGTATATATAAACTTGTGCTTCAAGCAGCATCTGTTTAAGGATATCTTTGCTTTCATATGCACACTCCACAATTTGAGCTTTAAGTCCGGCTCTTCACTGATCGCCTAACCCATATGCCCAACTGCAGCGTAGCGCAACACGGCTGAAGGGTGCTCACAGTTACGCGCCTTCAATTACGATGCCCGCTGCCCGGAATCGAGCTTACGAGATGAAGCCTACACCCCCGCCCCCCGTGACTGGGGCCACAAGCAAAGCAAATCGAGGCCGGCCGCTCATTTGTAGCCGCGGCTCCTTCTCCTGCGGCTGCTGCTGCTGCTGGTGTGTTGTTGTCCACTCCCCTTATCAGCTACTGTCCGAACCGAGGACTCACAATTAATTGCCAATGTTCTGCGTGGTTGCCGAATTGGAATCTGTGTGAAATCTCAGGCACAGCCAACGGACCCAACGGAACCAGCGGGGCCAGTGGGCAGCCGGCGGGCAGCCGGCGCACGGCTCGATCCGACTGCGCTCATGCGCATTCGGTAGGCTTAATTAGCGGCAAGTAATGTTTGCCGCTGTTGCAGTTGCAGCTTCGTGCTTGCCAGCAAGTTGTAGGAGTTAACTTCCACTGCGCCCCTGTCCCCTTCACACACAGACCCCGCCCACGATCAGGCGTCGCTTTGAGCTGCGTCCGGCAATGCCGACAACGCGTCGAACGTCCGAAACGAGACCGAAACTGCGATGCGTTTTGGCCAGCCTTTGAATTCCGGCGCAGACCGCGCTCCTTCCTCTTTTTTCGCTCTTTTTCTTCGATAGCTAATTGAAGATCTCGACTGACAGTTAAGCACATCACAGCTGAGTGTCTGTCTTGCCCCCTCTCTTCCTTTTGGTTCCATCCGATAAAAGTTGAACTTGAAAACGCAAAGCTGGTCAAGTTTTATGCAGATTTTAGAATGCGAGACTATACTGAAACTAAACTGAATAACATGCTCCCAATTTTTTATATGAAATTCTGCCCAAATATTTATAATTTTACCAATAACAAATTCTCCGCTTTTCGACTAAATTTGCTTAAGCAAATGAACGATTTTATAATAAGAGTTTCAATCTCGCCAAGTTTGCCCAAGATTAGAAAAATCAAATTTTGTTCTTGATAATTTGATTAATTTTGTAATTAATAGTAACAGTAATGGTATTTTTTTTTTGTAAAATCATTATTAACTAAAAAATCTTTATGAATATTTGATAAACGTGGTGGTAAGTCCTAATTAATATTTTCATAGCTAATCAAAGTCAATAGCTTAAATGTTGCTAAGCTAATGTAACCCTCCTGATTAATCTGTCTAAATTTCATTAATACTTATACTTATGCCTATAATTATATTTGTACTTTGTTTACTTTCTTTCTTTTACTTATTTTTCTTCTACTTCTACTTCTACTACTTCTACTTCTACTACTTCTACTTCTACTTCTACTTCTACTTCTACTTCTACTTCTACTTCAACTTCTACTTCTACTTCTACTTCTACTTCTACTTCTACTTCTACTTCTACTTCTACT